AGCACAGTAATTGCTTTTCACCATTACCCGGTCTCTGGTATAGGCTCATGTTAAGCACCGATGTGACTGAATGCCTGAGGCACAGCACGTGGTCTGAGGCGAAGGAAATCCGATAAATCTATGATATAAAACAGAGCCAATACATTGAACACGACGTTAAGTGTTGAGCAGCATAATTCAGAACTAGAGCCGTACGTAAGTGATTGGGTTGGATGGTTCGGTTCGAAATTAGATACGTTGGTTGCTTTGCTGGTTTGATTGGTTTGTTAGTTGTTTTTTATAGAATATTTAATGGAGGTCACTGAGCACTGACAGTGATATTTGAGGAGAAGTGAACATGGTTAGGAGGAATAAGTGGAGTGTTATTTCGGATTTTATCACCCGCGTTTGACTCAGTGTCTTATTATTTTCCTACTGCTGTGTTATTTTTAACCATGTTTACCGTAATGGGTGGAACACTTGGAAAATAATGTCTGAAAGTCGAACCCCAAAGCTGCGCGATCAGAAAGTATCGAAGGGCGGAAGATCATAGAGGCGTTCAACCAGTTTTAACCCCCGGATTCGTGTTGTTAATGACGATAAACAGTCGTCTAGATAAATGGCGGTGGAAGAAGGACTTGTGACGTCTCTATTTTGTATCTTGTAGCCTTATATATTCTGTTGATTAGAAATGATACGACACTTCAACTCTTTAAGTAACGCGGTGTGGTCAAGCAATGTAGTGAGGGCGTGAGTGTGACGAAATCGGGCGAGAAACGTGTCGGTTCTCGTTACTCCTTTACGGACGCAGCGATGTTAAAGTGTTTGGTGCAAAAGTGACACATTGACCCGTAGAACTGTAGAATAATTACAGCGACGCCAAGCAACATTAAACCTACGCGTCATTTATGGGGATTTCTAACTTGCATTTAATACGAATAAAATAAACTTCAACACAGCGAGGATTATCGACTCGCTCTGGCATTGGTAATACGTACTGACTTCTCATTATTCTATATTCTCTAGCCTCCTTTTTCTTCCTGCTGCCAAGTGCAAATATTCTTCTCAGCATCCTGTTCTCTAACATAACAAATCTGTTTCTTTCCCCAGGATGAGCTAAGTTTCAACTCCGTATAAGACAAGAGGAAACATTATATTTCCTTTTTTGTAATGTTTACGCTTGCCTGTAGCTGTCTTGAATTCACATTCTCTACACTCTCATAAATATAGGCTGAGGAATTTTTACGGTTCTTATGCTGTAAATTTACATTCCACGAAAACTGCCTTACGCCTAACAAAAGTAATGTATTTTTCAGCTATCACATTGTCGGTATTGATGATTGGAAAGTAAAAGTTTGAAAGATGTGAATTGTCCAAGAATAATATCATATTCATGTCTAATATGATGAAAAGCGACCGTCTGTATTAAAACGGTTTTACCGGGTGAAGTTCACACGCAGAAACGCCTAACACTTGGGTTCAGTATAAAATAATGAAAACGGTGATAGAATGTCGACATTCTCACTGACATATTCTGTTAAACATGTATAAATTTATGGAGTTGCCCAGAAATAAACGCCGGAAGTTACACAAGCCGCTTTGTATTTGTTCCGTTCATGTTCTGGAGGTGCTTGCTGCGTGGCCTATATCTCAGGCGTTGTGTCTGAGGGAAGGAAGAAAACAGACGAAATAATCGTGCTTATTAAAAGCGCCACGTCGCTTCGACTCAGGCTCTGGACCAGTAATGTCCGCGCTGCCGTTGGCTTACAAGTGGGTAATGTCTTCCAGAACACTGGAGACCACAGGCGGAGAGATACTGAATGCGACAGTTCGCACAACTCAACTGTGGGACATGCTTTCTAATGTGCTTGAAGCTTCTCGCGAACCCGCCAATACAAGAGCTAGTAGAGCCTCATTACGTGCTACAGCGTTTCAAAACCGTTGAGCCGCGATATTTAGAATTTAAATGTGTTTCTACACATCTGGCAATAGGGAACAAAATGTGATAATAGCAGCGGGATTTTGTTCAGCCCTGTTTCACCATCTCACTGGCTTGAGCATGTTGCCTCAGCACTTTTCGTATATTATTTCATTGTTTTCATTAATTTTACAACAGCGTGTCTGTACGATACGTTGAGTTAGGGCCTTTATTTTGAGAAACACCAAATTTTAGACCAGACTCTGATGTTACGGTATGACACAACGTCGAAACATGTTCATGGTAATTAAGAGTTTGTCTAGAAAATACCCAGTATGTTCAATGTAACATTGTATATTCATGTAGAATAATAAAAATGCGTAAGAATATTTATCCGTCTTGTACACGACGAAGTAGATTCATTCTTACTAGCATGCAAGTTTTACTTAGTTAAATGATATTGATTACGTAATGAGCAACAGTTTAAAATCACGGAAACCTGAAAACAGATAGATATATATGCAGCTTAAAAGGAGTTTAATCTGCAGCTCGTAGTTTGTTTGGATTTTGCATATTTTCTCCGAGTTTTACTGCCATCATAAAAATGTGCGAAAGAGTTCCTGTTGGGTATTATTGTAGTGTTTCGTTCGCTTTAGTTGAGAAAATGTCTAGACTTGCTCATAATAATGAGCCCTCTAAAGGCCGCGCTGTCTGTGATGGATTCTATGCACTTTATGTGCAGACAAAGCGATGTGGTTGGATTGCTGCCTGCATCCAGAAGTTTCGTAATAATAATGTGTTGACAATGGGTGCAAATAAATTCGCGTTTCATTTTGCAGGTTTAAAAGGATGAACGTTCGATACGAGTTGTGTGAAATTATAATCAGCCTAATTAGTCAGTGTGTGTGTATGTGTGTTTGGTGAACGGGTCTTGGTGCGGGGAGGGGGGCAGCGTGACAGGCACCAGTTGGGCGTGTACTAGTCGCTAATAAATATACAATTTTTAAACTCTACTTGGTTTATAAATTTCTAATTAATATCTGCAATTTTTTAAAATGTGCTATTTTTTTCTTGGCTGTTTGTGCTCTATCAGTTCTTAAGCAAAATTAGTGTTAATTTTTATCAGATGTCGTTCTTTGCCGAGAGGCAATTATTTTATTCTAATTAGTATGTTATTTATGGATTCCATTCCAATTGAAGGGGTTATGTGGTTTGGAACGAGATGAGATTATGATTATGAATAACGGCAATGTGTTGCAGTTTCGGAATGTGTTAGAATCCGTAATGGAATGAAGAAATGTATCAATTTATAAACTAATTATCGGGCTAGTAATTTCTACTGTGACCAAGATAACTAGCCGTACACACAACGAACGGAACAAAATTTCTTATTCATTTTTACGTGTTATAAACTACTAGCTATGTTTATGCCCCATTACATTTTATATTTTAATTCTTAATATCCATTTACTGAAAAAAAATGTATTTTGAAATTGCACGAATAAAGTCTTAGTTGTAGGAACGACAGTTTGAAGTGACAAGAGTTGATCAAGGGTTGTCGTCAAATAACTGAAGAATCACAAAGGGACCAAGTTGTCGCTAGGCCCAGCCAAAAGTTATGCAGAGACATCAGATTTCTGATCCTTAGCAACACAGATTTTTGTGTCGTCTTATTATTATTATTATTATGATTATGGACCGCGAGACTCCGCGACCGGGCGTCGAGTCCAGCGTCGCATGCCATGCAGCAGCTCGGATGTATCAGGGGCGTGACGTCACTGGTATTGAACCAATGACGATTCTCGCGTTTCTGGACCAGAGAAAGAGGCTTGGATTGGTTGTCACGGAGACAGGGATGTGTTTATGTGGAGAGAGACAGAGAGAGAAAGGGACAAGGGTTGGTAAAAGTACAGCAGGAGAGAGAGAAAGAGAGAGACGCGAAGAGGTGTTCCATCACACCAGGGTGACTATAAGCTCCGCCTATTCTGTCCCCCCGGAATATGCCCTTCTTCCCTCTACCTCACCAGTTTCCCCCTCACCCTTCATCCCCCTGTCCTAACATCAAAAACTGAACCCGCTACTGCTCTTTGCCTTTCCTCTTGCACATCCCTCGCTTTCTCTCGTTAACCACCTCCACCCACCCACCCACCCAACCACCCACCCCTCTCTCGCGCGGCTTCTTCCTGGTCCACCACCTTATCGGGGATGCTGCACTATGGAGAGACTCTCTCTCTGCTCCAGTTCTGGCTCCACGTTATTGAATTAAGCTTATCATTTGATTTCCGCACAAGCTGTGAGCGAGTCGGGCTCGTTCTTGCGCTACTATAGTCTGTACTGTACTAGCCCATCCGCACAGCGTCAGCGTAAGCACATCAGCAACAGCTTCCTCCTCTCTTCTGAGCAGCAGCGGCGACGGCAGCCGATATTATCCGTAATCGCCATAATTTGATATCACGACTTTGATTCAATTATATTCGAAGGACCAGTAGCTATAACATCAGCAAGGCAGAGCTACCAGCAAGAAAGAACTTCTCTTCCTTCGTACGTGTCTTCATTCAGAAAGGGATTATTATTATTTCGTTTACAGTTTTAGATTAACTTTGACTGAGACGAGTTCTTTTTTTTTCGCTGCTTTTATTATTAATTTATTGCGTCTTGTGGTTGAGTAGAACTTTAAGGGTAGGGGAAAGAAGGAAAATGGGAGAAGAAAGACAGCAAGAATGCGGTATCGCTCACCCCACTTTTCTAATATTTCTTCACGCTGAGTCGATTTCATTTTGACTTGCAACATTTCGTGCTGTCGTGAAGGATTTGGTTGCAAGTTTTTTTTATAAATCTCATATTGTCGTAAAGTTGCAAAATGCTGCAGGAAGGCTTCTTGTAAATGAATACATTTCACAGGCTTGTAGCACTTAACATGATAGGACAAACGTTTTCTTAATCTCGCAGACGAATTTTAGCAGTACCTTCTGCAATTGAAGTAAAATTGGCGTGTACAAAAGATAACTGCTCCTTTGTCTCAGTGCTCGTTTGAACTGCAGTCGCGTGTAGCAATTTTAAGTCCGGAGACGGAGTTTAATGGTGTCACGTGTTGTGAAATGACGGCCGCAGAGTCGAGCCAATAGTCACGAAATGTGTCTGATGACAGTTATATGATGTGAAGCGAAATATAGTTTTGTATCTCATTTATTTGTGTCTTCGTGTGAACCAGAAATTCGTGGACAAATAAAGTGCATCAAGAAGCAAGTCCGTGGTTTATGAATGTCAGTCTTCCAAGTGTCTAGAAAACTGAACAAGATTTGACAAGTGACTGACAAATGCCGATAAAATAAATAACTGTAAAATTAATATTACTAATCAAGAGTACAATTTCTTCATCGTACGGTGATAATCGAAACGAGCGTCTGTATGCAGCCTGAATTAATGTACTGTATTGTGAAGTGACTGTTATTCTCGTATTACTTCTTAAAGAGAACATGAGTTGTGCATTACTTATCATATGTGTCATCGACGGTAAGAAAGCTTAGAGGGAACTCTCAAAGCTATTAAGACAAAGTTAATGTTATTAGTCATATAGTGTATGTTTAAAAAATTAGGTAAAATCGACTGTGTGTGCGCGTTATTTAAAACTGAGGAAGAACAAGACATTTGTTACATAAACCATCGTGTGTCAATCTGTGAACTTCTCCTTTGAATTATTCGGCGAGACTGTTAACACAGAGTGTGCAGTGGATGGCATTGTGACATTAACTGACTATTTTAAAGTACTCCATGTCACTGAATGTTTTCTGGAGTAGAGTTTTGGGATTAGAACATGCGAAACACTAAAAGGACTAGCGAAGCACATGTGAACTTGGAACGTAACACATTCTGAAGTAAACTACTGACTCACATCACAACTTCACATAGTTTCTGTTTGTTGACGAGACTTAAACTTCAGCGGCTGTGACAAGTCCTGTGGGTAGATTCTAAGAACAGAGCCATCAAGAGGACGGACTGTCTTGCACAGGAAGACCATGGACTACTCGTATCTGAACCAGGCGGGTTTCGACGCTTCCAGTTGTTCACTGACGGCTTGCAGGGATGGACCCAACAGGTCTGAGCAACATGCCTTGCTCGTACGGAGACCTCACGTCCTGCAGCCAGATGTCCCAGGCCGCGTACCGCTACACCGCTGCCGCCGCGTCAATGGCGAGGTCCTATAACCCGGGTGCAGGTGTCGCCGGAGGAGCCGCTGCTGGGCACATGGCCGGCGTCGGACATCATCACCCAGGCGCCCCGGGCTCCCAGTGCGCCGTCATGGGCTCCAGACCCCATCATCAGGAACACGTGCACCATAGGGCCCCCATGTTTCCCTCGACCATGAATCTGCAAAGTGAGTACTACACTGAGCGGAGGTCATGTAGCCTAGGACGCTAATGCGGATTCTTCACTCGGACGGGTAGTTGTAGGCCTAAATTAACTGAAGTTTAATTTTGATCTCTGTATCAAGAAATTTGCAATGTTTTCTTTTAACAAGTAGCCCTTGACACTTTAAAGTTGGAGCTATATAGAGTGAAGTGGGTCTAATTATTGTATACTCACTATAAAGTTGTCTTCATTAGACTGGATCTGTTCGTGATGGATTTCCCAAATTCCTTTGCAACTCTGACTCGATAACAGGCTCATTGTAGGGTAACACAGGATTTGTCGGACACTTTTAAAACTAATGCTCTGCTCTGCTACAAGAGCATGTCGTTTGTTTAACTTTTGTTATAGGATATGCCATGCGTGTCTGCATGCAGACCTAGGCTAAACATAATGTTATGGAACACTTTTTGTAAATGATTTGTATCACCAAGGTACCGACATCTGATACGATAACCACTCAAACTTTAATCGGTATGACAAATGTCGTGACATATGTAAGCATAAAATGTGTTGTGACATGCACGAAATCATCAGTAAAAGAGTTTCATCTTCAGAGTAATCTTGTTATGTAGGTTTTATTTTTTATTTTTACAAGTCAGAACTACTTTTACGACTTTTAATAAATGCTCGTAGGGATACCAGGCGTCCTAATGATTCTGTTCAGTAGAAAAATGTTTTCATGCCATTGAAGAGGTACCGTACCGTCACAGGAAATAATTCAGTCACAAGCAGGGACAGTGCATGGAGTCTCGTGTAGTGTCTGTATCTCAAAGCAGCGGAAACTTCTTCGTCTCTAAATGAACTTGGTTTTTCTCAAAAGTGGATGTTTACACAATAAATTGGTGCGTAACAGAACGTACAGATCACATCAATATATGCCACTTTTTATATTATATGTATCTGAAGTAGACAGATTACAACGCCAACGAGGGATGAAAATGAAACCTCTAACTTTCAAGGGTGATTGTAGAATGAGAGAAAAGATATTTATCAACAATAATATAATAAAATAAATAAAAATTTTAACTAGGTTGTTTAGACTGAAAAATATGTAGGGTCTGGTTTCAAAAGTCTTGATTCAAAAATAAATTACACCGATTTTATGTTCTGTGTCGTGCATTAAGACAAACTCTGAAAACAAAACGCAAAAGAAAAACATTTTTGAGTTCTGTAAGACATTTGCAGTCCCATCTGTCATATGGAAGTGAGTTCTGGACATTGAATCAAGAGCAATATAAAACAACTGAAGCAATGATAGGCTAGTTTTTATTGGATAAAGAGAAATGAGGATATGATATAGGAGCATAATGAACCTATTCATCAGAATTGACTGGAAAAGTAAAGGAATATGCCCTTCAGCAAAATGGTTTCGACGCTTAACCGGAATGTCCACAGACTGCGTGTCAAGGAAGATGCTACAAGACCACAGTGAAGAAAAGAACGAGAAGCCATTTTAAATGATGGAAGAATTAGCTCATACAGAATTGGGGTCTGAATAGCCAGGCCGGCCTAACTCTGGCAGATAATAATTATAAGGACGATGAATGCGATTACAGTTAGAGAAGGTCTCTCAGCAATCATGTCGCGTGTTTAGGAAGTAATGAGATGTCCTGTAATCGATTCCTTTGACCACCGCCAGACCGAGTGACGTGAGTATCGATATTAACTATCATTTCGTTCTAGTTATTATCCTCACCATATCACAGCAAATCGTTGGAATTAGTAAGGAAGCAATCTTGAAGGAATCGAGACACAACGTCAAAAGTAACATAATTTCATTAAACTAAAATTACAATTTATAAAAATTCATCTGTTGTTTGTTAACTTGGTTTTTGTTTCCTGATGATTCGGGTTATAGGCAACTCTAGAAATTTCTCCTAAACGTAATTGGCATGAACTCCGTTATCTGCATGGGGGCCTGGGTTAATGAAAAGCAGCCAAATGTGGGAAGTGATTCATTGAGTGGAAGGATTAGTGATAACCACACACAACGGCCGTTACCTAGGCTGGAATCAAATCCACAAGCAAGTGAGCGGAGACCGCAAGTTGACCATCGCACTTGGGAATTTGTAAAGCTAGTCATTATGATAGGCTAACGGTAACGAAACTAATGTTGATTGTCTTAAACTTATTTGTATGTGGAACACACCGTTGTTACACTTGCAGTATTTCTTCTTTCCTTGTGCGGTCCATAGATTTTAATTGGACGAATTTTCGATATGACGAATATTTACTGAAATAACTTAATTTGTTTAGATTCAGTATAATTATACCTAGGTAATAGGCCTGAACATTGTCTGTTATGGTTATGTGATGAAGTTTGACTTAAATTGTGAGCGAGGGCGTGAACTGAATTAAACTTCCTCAGCCATAAAAGACGGGGTATTTCTGGAATAGCTGAGCTAGTTTTAGCTACTTAAGAGGGTCTGTTTTGGAATTAATGAAAGAGCTGAACCATTTTTTGGCCAATTCCGACATCAGATGTCTAGATTTTTTTATCTTCGCACTGTTTCTTTTTCCATTTAGTATTCATGTTATCATTAATTGATTTTGGAAATGTTTTTCTCTGTACTCTAACCTTGTAAAGAATACATTTCTTTCTGTAGAAGCCTATATCAAAATTGTGTCAATGCCGATTTTTAGTCCAACCAGAAGTAACGTTACTTAATTAAGTTAGAGAATTTTCTGGGTGGAGATTCCCGCCTAGTTACTAAAAAAATGCATGTAGGTGTTCGTTCAAAAAGACCGTTATTATTTTCCGATGTTAATCGAAATTGCAACTTCTCGAAAAATCTTAGTAAAATAGCTCAGTATTAAATTTAATGAAAATCCGTTCACTGGTTCTCGAGTTGTTACATACCAACAGATGGACAGACAGACGGACGGATTGACATATGAAGATAGCGAAGCTAACAGACGCATTTTTGCAGCTTATAATTGCAAAAGCGCCTGGAAAGAGGAAATGTGTTTTATATAGTCAAATACTTCACTATTTTTTAATAATTTTCCGCACATTTCAATAAAGTGGAGGTTTTAAGTTTTCCCAATGATATAAGATATCAAGAAAGTGAATTGGAGAGCGTAGAATTCAATCACCGTGTGTTTTCTCAGCATTTCGTATATTTCTGTATGTCGGTAGATAGGCTTCATGCAGTTTTGCTTTGAATCAGCAAATATATAATTTAGAAATTATCCGTTAGTTTATTATTGGCCTAAGAAGAATACTCTTTCACACCAAATTACCATTAGCAAGTGGAAAGATTGTTCTGCTTTTCTGAAGGGAGTTTTATCTGTGATATAAATCGTTAGCTGATTCCGAGTGTGCATTGTCAATTGATATTACATAATAACGTGTAGCAGTTCATATAGCCCATATAACGTTGTCAGAAGAATGAATTCTGCTGCTCCAGTGCGTTCGATGGAATCACGCCAAGTTTGCGTTGTAGTGATTGTATTGTGCGATCAGGCGATTGTAAGATTACTATATTTCCTCTAAGTCAGCATCTGAAGGTTTAGACTTAGCAGCAACTGTTACTGATTACTAAATAATATCAACGGATGACTTCCGTGTTTTAAGGCGCAAGAAATCTTATTATGTGACAACGACATCTTGTCACAGTGGGCGAATGTAGAGACGATAAAATAGGCTGCCTTAAAAATGATTTTGGAAAGTGATTACAGTCTGTACACAGCAGAGAAACAAATAAAATATACTGTTACAGAAAAAAAGTTTTACGATATTTTCTGACCTATATGCTGTATCTGAAGTGTAATATTATTTTATACACTCCGGTCATTAACTTACCAGTAAGGTTAATGCAATCACAAGATACTACTTGATTTATCTTCATTTTTTAATGTAACAAATAGTAAAGAACAGCGATATAATTTCTCCCATAAATTTATTAAAACCTATACACCTGAACTGTGTACGGAAAATTATATGTCGTTGTATTTTGTAATTTACGTATTTTATCTGATCTATAACATTGTGTGGAGCCCTCTGGACGATACTATAATCACTATAAAAACTTAAATTTTGAAAATATGATTTATGTAAAACTTTCATAACTCTTTCAAGTTCAGTGTGATTTATAAACTTATTTTAACTTCCTAATAACTCGAAACACGCAGTTTCATTTTGAGTTTTATACGATATTACATAGAAATTAAACACCTCTGTTAAAAACTATATTTATTTATCCTGTTGTGTATAGATTTTCATTGCTTCCTAATATGGCTTTGATCCACAGCGGGATTGTCAATATTATTTGAACGAAGTTCTGATCTTGATGAAACTTGGGGTTATACGATATTTGAAACACTCTGGAGGTAGACCCAACGATGTTGGATTATCACTGAAATCACAGCACTCTGATAATTTTATTTCTTTAGTGAAATGAAGAAAAAGTGGACCTCTGTTTTATATTATGAACATATAATCTGTCTGTTACGTGACCACGAACTGACACTTGCAGATCGCAGAGAGAGTTAAATTTCTTCGGTCGTACCAACAGATGATTAGCTTCATTTTGCTTCCTTCACAAAAGATATGATGTGCACAGTAGAATCTTTGAGCATCTACACCATCAACTAGTAGACTCTGACACCCCCACTACACATATCACCACCATCTTCACCCTTTGAGGAGACACAGCGGGTTTATGTTGACGATGCCGAAGAACTGCAGAGGTCTCCTGGAAGAACCGTCCGACCCGTGGGCCTCCTCTATTCATCCTGGTACTGCCGCCTGACTCAGACTCCCAGCAGCTAGCAAACCCGTAGCCTTCTTTTTCTCATTCGCTTGCATTATAAGACCATAACTCAGTTGTGCCCTCAACACTAACAAGGTTACCACCTCGCCTCGGCCTTGCAGTAGTACCCACCCAACCCCGACTACTTGAGTCCCTTCCTCTCCCACTCACTCACTCACTCACTCATTCACTCTCTCTCTCTTTCCACCGA